TTAAGGTTTAATTTATGCCTATATAGAAGTCTCTAACACTTCAGGTTAAGGAGAAAAAAATACTGAAAACTTTTAAAATCACTGTGTTTGGAGACTTTACTACGACTTTACTCAAAATCCTGACGTTCAGCACAGAAAAATACATTGGAAACCACTCCGAAATCTAAAAAAAAGCCTTATTTTGTAGACCTGTGTTATTTAACGTTTTGTGTTTTTTTTGTTTAAATTAAACAAATAAAATTTTTATCCAATTATAGCTATAGTTTCATTTGGCATTAATAAAACCAATTTTAATTTTGATGTTATGTCAAAGGGTTGAATTCCTTTTTTATAGAAAAAAAAAAAAAAAAAAAAAAAATGCACCGTATGAATCAAATGTTCTTCATATAACTAAAGAAGCTGCTGTAGAAAGATAAAGTGAATCTTAAGAGATGCAAATAATATTTTTCTAATCCCTTCTTCTCCCCCTTTTTTTGAACCCCCCCTCCCCTCTCATTACTTCAAGCGAGTGATAAATAATTTTCATCTCTTCGGTATGGGTCCTTCTCGCAGTTGGCTGTCAAAGCGGGTGGCAATAAGTGTTGCTTTCGTGAGTGGAGGATAAAGGAGTGACCTCCACCTCCGCGTTTCGTTCTATTCTGGATACGAAGTGTATCTAACTTTAGATTATTTCGTTGGCCCAGTCTTTGACTCTCTTTCTCTTTGAATCCCGCGAGTTTTCCGAAGATCAACGATACTCTTATATGACGTCAAAGGCAGGAAGCAATTTTCCGCCAATGTTGCATTTCTGAATTTCGCATATAACGCACGCGTATATATTCGATGTGTAATCAAGAATAATATTATAGTAACCTGATTTTTTTTTTGTTCAATTTTTTTTTTTTTTTTTGTAAAAATGCCAGTAGAGTACGATTTTGTTGTTCTGTGATCATCATAATATATAAAAGATGTGATTCTCTCATTATGTTGGATACAGTGAAAGAAGAAAACAAATATTTTCATGTATTTGAATTCTGGATTGTCTCCAAAATTGCTTTATAGAAATTATAGGTGAGACGATCTCTTATTTTTTTGTAAGTTATCTTTTGAGTAAACTTTGTTGATAAGATTTGTTTATAATTTGTTAATTTTTACTTCGGTGAAGTTCACAACGTTTATGATCAACGATTTAGAAGAAAAAGGTTACTTTTACTATACTTTAAAAGTAAAATCTGAACTGTCCGCAGTTTCTGCGCATTTCTGGCAAATTTTTACTCCGGAAATAGTAAAATTTACTCCAAAAATAGTAATAAAATTACTCTTGAAACAGTAAAAATTATTCCAGAAATAGTAAATTTTACTATTTCTGGAGTAAAAATTGATAGAAATGAGCGGAAATTGCAGTCAGTTCAGGTTTTACTTTTAAAGTAGTAAAAATTACTTTATATTCGTTTTTCAATTGTTTCCGTGTAGGCAAAATATTAGTTATATATTTCGAGTCAAAAATAAGTGACACGCTTTAAAGCAAATAATGATAGATTATTTTTTTTAAAGTGAAAATGCACAAAGAGTATCAATTCTCAATACAATTACATCTAAAATATTCAATAAAAGCTGATTTTGAACTTATATAAATAAAAAGGAACTTTTAATCAAGGTAAAACTGTTGTAAACATAACCTATAATTCGTTTGCTTAGATCCCTTTCTTCAGAGCGCGTCACATAATTTTTTTTTTCAATTGTTGATTATGAGCGTTGGAAACAATTCTTACAAATCTTGTAAATGCAAGAATTTAATTACACTAGTTATTAGGATTTATATAATTCAATTGAATGTAATATAAATTTTAAGATATTTTTTTTTAATTCTTCCAATATTTTTGCGACCTTTAAGAACGTTTATTTTAATTTTTTTTCACCAATTTTTCATCACTTATTGAAAAAAATATATATAAATTAACGATTAGTTGATAATTACTCAAAAAAATAAATAAATAAATAAATAAAGCAAAACAGAATTTATAATTATTGATAATTTTTTGAGAAAATCATGACGAAAATACAAAAGAAATAAAATATATCCAAGAGGAGAACTTGGAAAAATTATGTAAAACAATTTACTGATTGTGAGTTTGTTATTATTTTTCTTTTTGCTTTGTCAGTTGATCCAGGACAAAAAACAAATGACCACGTGTTTAATAGGCATTTGTTAAGTTATTGTTAGTTTCGTAATTTATGCGTGCAATCGTGCGCGTTGATTTAATCGTGAAATGAATAAGAACTTATTAAAGAAATTATATATTATATATATATTTCATATCAAAATTTTCACCTGGTGGAAATAATATATTATTAACTATATATATATAAATGTATAATTGTATAATTTCTTTGTTTGTTCATTTATTATGAAAATGTTCCATATTTGCGTATATTATAAAAAAAAAAAATTATATTTCTTATCAGAGAGTGTAAATGAGTAAATACACACTCGATTTTCTGTCTTGACGTAAAATTAACCTAACACACGATGAATAATTTAAGGCTTATTATACTATCTTGTACTGAACACACGTGTGTTAAGCTTTGATAAATTTTTTTGCATTTCATTTTTTTATATATAAATTTTATACTTGCATTGCATTGTAATATAAATTTTTTTTATTATTTAAATTTAAAATTTTCATTCAATTTCCATGAAAATTTATTCTGTATTTTTTATTAAAATGTTTGTTAAGAGTTCTTTGCAATAAAATTTTTTTATTTTATTTTTATCTATCTTTTATAAATATATAAATATAAACTTTCTAACTTTTTTCTCCAAAGATTTGAAGAAAATTATATATATATATATATATGAGTAAAATATTATTTTCATATATATAATAAAAAAAAGGGTTCCGGAAATGACGTTGACATTTGACAAACGGTACTAGATTTGTTTTTTTTTTATTTTAAACTGTAAGTACTATTCGACTGATCAATAACGGTTAACCTCGTTTATTTCTTTTGTTTACTGACCCTTTCACTCAAATGAAAAAATTTCCATTACTTAAATATTTGAACTGAGATTGAAATATATATTTTGTTAATTAGCTTCAACGGAATAGTAGAGGAATTATAAAATTTTTTACTGATTCAAAAAAAAGAGAGTTCCATTAAATTTCTTCCTTTTCTTATAAAACATTTTTATTATTATTATTATTATTATTATTAATTATTATTTCTAATAGTAATTATTAGTTAGTACTATTTTATAAAGAAAAGTAAATTAGAAAGTACGATAAATTTTACTTGTATTTGTAATTGTAGAAAAAAGTACAATAATTTCGTGAATGAAAATTTAGAAAATATTAATTTCATTCTATCCAATTTTTTTAATTTATTTCAATTGTAAATAATTCTTTTTTTTAAATTCTCACCTTCCTCTTATTTCTATAATTATATAGATTTAAATTAAATTGATTTCATAATTTGACAATTTAAATTTATATCTAAAATTAGTTTACTATTTTGAAAAAAATTTCTCCCTCGCGGATATACAATTATATATAATTATAATAATTTGTACCTTAATCGGTTTTGTTTCTCTATTTTTTTTTCTTTGTATATTATATTGGAAAATTGGAATTAAATTACGTTGGGTGGTTCTTATCAGTATTATTACATTGCAACTTATTTGCTCACGTCCGTTTTTAATATAGTGTTATTACGTCGTTAAATGCACCATTCGAACTTATGTGACCTCGGCTCCTAGCTTATAATTCAATGTGCTTGCGGGATGCTTGTATTTATTACGCGACTAATAACGGTAATGATAAAAAAAAAAAAAAAAAGGAAATGAAAAATCCTCAATATACCATTTTTGCACACACAGGCAATCGACATTTTTTTATGTACTTATTATGTACAAAAAGAAAAAAAATTTTATTCTGTCATTTAAAAGAGATCTGGCATTTATATTTAAGAGCCACTTGTAAATTTCTCTCGTTCGAAATTTATCGTATTGCAAAATTCCGTAAACATCGTCACTCATGACGGATCTGGATTATAAAACACTTTTGAGATTAATCCACTTTAGAGTTTATTAAACTCGCTTCGATTCCGAGAGAGGAATAATAGTTGAATGAGAGTAAATTGAAGTCTTTGTTTGAGTAAATGCGAGAAGTGCTTTTTGTTTAGGTAGATTGGAGTTGTTTTTTTTTTTTTCCTTTTTTTTTTGTCAGTTAAGTAAATTGGATGTTTTCATTTGTTTGAATAGTTTAGGAGGCTTTTTATTTATAAAGTTCTTTAAAAATAAATTAAAATCTTTTTAATTGTACATACACTGAAAAAAAATGTATTTGATTCAAATAATCGATAACTTGACTAATATCAAAATTAATATTTATTTGTATCAATTATTATTTGAGATAGTATTTTTTCAAATACAGAAATTATTGATTCAAATACAGTTTATTTAATTATTATTATTGTTATTTTATTTATTTAATTATAATCAATTATTTGAATGAAATAAATTTTTTTCAGTCTAGTCTTTGAATAAAGACAGATTTTTTACAAACAGTTATTTTATAAACAATGATTTAAAAATTATTCCAATTTTTAAGAAAACAATTTTGTTTTAATGATTTATTTTGAGAAAGAAAAGAAAAAAATAGGGATCCATTGGATCTCAAAGTAACTAATAAAGATTTTTTTTATATATATGGGAAAAACGATTTTTGAAAATGATATTTAAGAAAAATATACAAATATTTATTTATTTAGAAATATAAAAGGAATCTCTATTTACAAAGCTTTGTGGTTTTTTGTTTAGTATTTTTTTTTTTTTTTGTCTTCTCTTTTTTGCGAAGAATTTTGAAAATTCATATTTAGAATAAGTAAGATGACAAACATTGTTTCGAGAGCATTTTCAATCGTTCGTTTTTTGCATATATCGGATCGTTGCCAATTGGCCACGAATGGATCGGTGTCGACTAATAGCGATAAATAAACGTTACGTTGCATTGTTCCGACAGGTGGTTGCCTAAGACTTGACACTCGATTGAGAAGACAGGGACAATGGTTGACTACTACAGAATCCTCGATGTCTCGCGGACATCTTCGAGCGGTGATATCAAGAAAGCGTAAGTACATCATTATTTACAATCACGATAAATGAAAAAAAGAAAGATATACGACACAAACACCTATAATGAATTCTTAATTTTAAAAAAAAAAATTGCTTCATTTTTAATTATATTTCTTGTTATTCTTTCAATGTATAACTTTTTCTGATAATACTTATTTTTTTTTTTTTATTTATTTTTCTTTATTCATTTCTATAATATAAAAAAGAAAAATTTAATTTTTAGAAAATAATTTTGCTTTCAAAAAATTTTTTTTATTATTTGTAGATTATTATCTTTTTTTTTTTTTGAAACGTAAATTTGAATTTTATCATTCATTCATTTTTTTCTTATATCCAAAATTAGAAAATTCATTCTTGATTTCACGAGGCTTGATAAAATAATATACCTGAAAATAAATTATAATTTTGACCCTTAAAACTAAGTTTTAAAACTTTTGCACTCATATATACATTTTCTATTAATAATTTATGCATTTAAAATAATTGTTTGATTATTCTATAAAAATTTGTTTGCTTTTGTTTTAAAATGAAAATGTAACTTTCTTACGGGAATATTGATTGTAATGATAATATATAATTTTAATGATCATAAATGGTCTTTTCTATTTGCATGAAGTTTGAACTCTACGATCAATCAACGTAAACATTTGTAACAGTTTCTTTACTTCACACATTCGTCTCGCGAGAAAATTGATAGACTTCTGAAAGCACACAGATACACACAATGATTAATGGCACGTGTAGAGACTTTTATTGAAGATTCTCTCACTTCTGAATTGTTCAATAGCTATTCTTATAAAGTATAACAATTTATTTATTTTTTTTGATTTTAATTAGAACAATTTTTTTTTCGTATTTAAAATTTTGTTTTATTTAATTTTATTTTCAAAAAAATCCCTTCTTTATATCAGTTATATTTAAATATTTCTTGAAATTTTTATTCATCAAAGAATTATGAAAAATATTTTTTTAGATAAAAATTTTTTATAATTTTCTATCGTAAAAAATAATTTTGTTGATTATAAACATTTTGGACTTGAGTATCGTAAATTTTGATAGGAAATTTGAAAACTATTTTACGCGACCTCTCTGAAATATTTTAAAAGACAAAAACGAATTATTAAAAAATTTGCTATTTAGAGAAAATAAAAAATAAGTTTTGAAAAATTTTTGAAAAGTTTTGATAACGAAATTTTTTTTGTCCATTTGAAAAAAAAATAAATTGAAATTCAAGTTTTCTAGATGAATTATTTTTGGGAAATAAAAATGATGCAATTTTTGATCCTTTGACGAGTGACGAAAACGTATTTGTATATATACCTAGTTCAGTGAACTCGTGAATTTCAAACTCTATTTAAAAGAAACACGTGCTCGAGTTGGAAACAGAAAAATCATCAGGCCTTTTATTATGTTAAATCCACTCTCTTTCTTTCTTTCTTTCTCTCCTTTTCCTTTTTTCCTCTCTCAATGTTCTCTCGTTGCATTAGTGGTACATCCGAGGTGCATTCGAGGTTATTCTCAAAGGTCTGTGACCTGTTTCACGGTCGTGGCACCGAATAGCCACTGTCAGAGAGAAACCTCCTACCAAAATAAACTTTGTCATAACTGTTGGATGAATTTTCAGAATTCATTGTCTAAAAAAGGGACAAAGCGATCTAATTTCAAATTTCCTGCTCCCGTATATAATTTTATATATTTTCTTTTCGCGAAAGATGTATTCTGCAACACCGTTTCGTTGAACTCAAAAATTTACAAGGCGAAAAATATTTTATTTCATTAATAAAAAAAAAAACAATTAAATATTATAATTAAAATAAAAAAATGAAAATTTTAAAAGAAGTAAAATAATAAATAAATAAAAAATATTAAAAATGACAATTATGGAGAGAGACTGGTGAAACAGTCCAACAAAATTTTTGTTGTGATCAATTTTTTTTTCTTGCAATTTTGAGTTTTTTAAAATTATAATACACTAAAAGAAATTGAAAACCAAATAATTAGGTAGTTAATAATTCTTTTAATAAATGTTAAAATTTTTTTAAACAATAAAATTGGTAAAATGGTCAAAAATATTTTTTAAGTTTAAAAATAAAAAATAATTTTAGATTTTAAATAATGCTAGAAAAAAAATTTGTACAAGATAAATATCGAATGATTAAAATTTCACTGGACCCTCCCCTTAATTGAAATTATCTTTGTTTCGAACTTTTTCATATTATGAATTAACACTTTTCATAATCAATTATTGTAAATTAAATTTTATTTAAATTCATTTTCTAGTTGTTTGTATTTTACAAAAAAAAATATATACTGTTTATTAATAGTGGAATTTTTTTCACAGTTACAGAAAATTGGCCCTCAAATGGCATCCAGACAAAAATCCTGAAAATTTAGAAGAATCAACGAAAAAATTTAAAGAGATCTCAGAAGCCTACGAAGTACTAATTGACGGTAAGAATTTCAAAAATTTCTACATTTTTTTTTTCTTACATTGTTAGCATCTTTCACTCATTTTGAAATACATATATATACATGGTAGAGGCTTTGCATTAGCTTTTCCATAGTCCTCGCATTTCCTTTATTTTTGGAATACTTGAATTAAAAAAAAAAAATATATATAAATATTTACAAAAATAAAAGAAATTATAATTAAATAAAAAAAGGAAAAAAATATTTTATTTTTACAACACAAAATTTGGTTGACATTTGCGTATAACAAAATTTTTTTGGTTGGTTCATTAATATTGTTCTTTTTTTTATTGTTTCAATGAAATTTCGCTGTTTATTTAATAAAAAATTTTAAATTATTACAATTTTTCTTCAATTTTTGGATGAAGCAATAAATATTTTATTGATCTGACAAAAAAAATGTTACACAAATATCAACCATAATATTTTATTGTAAAAGCGAAATTTATTTTCTTTATGGTTTTTCATTTTTGAAAAATAAAAATTATATTTTTAAAATAAAAAATAAAAAAATTCAGATATTAATTTCATAAAGTAAAAGTAGAAATTATAAAGAGAAGTTTTAGAAATAATTTTAGAAGCACTAATTTTAAAGCAATATATAGACTTTGATGACAATAGATTACAAATGTAGATGTGTGTTATGCAAAGGTGTGTCAATAATTGTAGACCGCTTAATAGTTATAATTGAATTAAAGCTTTAATCAGGTTCAACGTGATTAGAATTAAATTAGAGTGTGTTAGAAAATAGTTTTAAACACCCACAATGTGCATATACGTTTTGGCAATCGCTCCGTGACGATTTAATTCTTCTAAGCTTATAAATAAATCCATAACTATAAAACAATGCTCAACCTATTTATAATTTATTCGATTATTATTGATATCGTTTTCATGCACGATTTATTTACAAATTGTTAGAAAATCATTTTTAGAAAGTATTAAAAAACCGTAGTAAATAGTTGAAAGAGAATTTCATGCGATTTATATAATTATTTTTATATTATATTTAATTTTAATAAAAATTGATTATTTTTAATTAATTTTTGAAACTTTTAAAATATTTTCAATCGATTTTGAAAGATGCAATAAATTAAGAAAAAATTTTTTGGAATTAAAAAGAAGCTGTTTGTAAAAAAAGGAAAATTAGTTTTTAAACTTGAAAATAATCAATCTAATAGTCGAGAATTAAATGGTTTCTTTATCTTTATCAAATCCTTTTGGTTTTAGTAATAAAATATGGGGGTGAAAATTTTTTTTTCTTTCTCAAAGTGCTAAAGCGTGCATAAAGACACTTTGCAGTAAAGTTTTATTATCATTAAATGTTCCTGGCGTCGATAGAGACGTTTTAAAGTTGATTGATGTGCAACCCTGAACAAGGACATGCGCCCATGCAAACACAAATATCGATTGCAACCCTCTTGCAAACTGCAAAATCATATAAAATGAAACTTGTGTATTTTACATTGTCATTTCCGTATTTTTCTATTTTTTTTCTCTCACCAATAATACTACTATACAGTAAAATTAATTTATTCATTTGTCCCTTTTAAAAAAATGCAAAATCGATAAAAATTCATTGCCTATATTTTTTTTTCACCAAATTTTTAACGTTTTCAAATGTATAAAAGTTTAAACATTAAAAAAAAATAACGAATCATTTGGCGAATGTATAATAATTTAATTAAAGAAATATTTGTGCCAAAGAAATTGAGACGCATGAATACATTGTACATATAAATTATGAGTCCGAATTTTTTGGGTTTCAAAAAATGTATAAGGTGGAATTTCTTCTTAACTGAATTCTTATTTTATTTTTATATTAAACCGAAAAAGCTGATAAATGAAAAATATATTTTTAAAAAATTTAGTAAATTAATTAGTTTGTAAAGAAAAAAAGATTTTAATGAAAATAATTAGATAAATTTTTCACATTATCAAAAATAAATAAATATGAATTTATTATACGAAAATGAATTTGACAAAAATTTTATAAATTAACAAAAATTGAAAAAAAATTCATAATTTGCTTTACATTTTTTTTTTAAATTAAAATTAACAGTAAAACTAATATGAAATACAATAAATAATCGCTATATGCATTAGGATTCTATGAATCAAACAAAAAAAAAATCTGTTTGTTCCCGGATTGTGATGATGTATCTCGGTATCCAGATGCCAAAAGGAGAAGCTACGATCAACGATTATATCAGAAGGCATCCTCGAGACCAGGCCGTGGATTCACCTATAGGAGTTTCTTTGATTCTCCTTTCCAGCGATATTTCGGTACACCGTCACAAAAGAACTTTAAGAGTGTCAAGCGGTGTTCACGATAAAGAAAAAAAAAATGTGAAAAGTCCAGAATTTCCATCAGAGACTATTTGCATTCTTGTTTTTTTTTTTTTTTTTTTCTTTAATTTTTCATTGATTTTTTTTTCTAAAGCCTCAATTTCATTTGAAAGCATTGTTTTAAACATTTCCTTTATAAAAATCCTCGCATCAACCTTTTCAAAACTTTTGATTTAATTTTTTTAATTTATGTACTTTTTTTGGGGAAAAAATTTTTAAAAAATATAATTTTTAAATTTTAATCTTTTAATTAAATTTTGTGACAAAATTAAAAAAAATTTTACTTCTATCGTGTATAATATAAAAAATTTGAATTTTAGAGAGATAAATGTTTTTGAAAGTAATTGAATATAATAGATGTTTAAAAATTAATTGATAACGAGATAAAAGAAAAAAAAAGTTTTCTTTAGATATAATTTCTTTCTTAAATTATTCTCAATGAGATTGTAGAAAAAAGAATATAATTTACTTACGTAATGTTGCATCAAAACATTTCATTGATTAAATTGACCTAATGTAAAATAAAGTTAAATAGATAAAAATAGTGATTGAATTCGAAATTCTAAAGATTTAAAACATTATAAAATCTATTCTCTACTATAGTTTGGAATAAAATTCAATGTCAATTCAATCTTTAAATAGATTGTTTATATAAAAGGACAGTCTTTTACTCCAAAAATCTATGTGGATAATTTTCTTTTTCTTTTGTTTTGAATCATATGAAAAAGTTTAATAATTTTTAATTAAATATAATTTACATTTTAAAGAGGATTTAATAATATCAAAGTATCTTAAGTAATATTAACAGAATTTTTTCAAAATTTTGAATTGCCTCACTCTTAAAGCTTCTCTCACATTCGGTGTCAGAGACATTTAAAAATTCCAAAAGAATTAATTTTTTTAATACCATAATTTTTATTGGTTCGTTCACCTACCCTTTATAATAATAATAATAATTTAAAAAAAAAAACTATGCTTTCTTTTTGCCCTGCTATTCTCGTCTTTTAACAAAACTTATTTAATTTTCCTAAGGAGAGAAAATCTTTCATGTTTGTGAAATCTATTTTTTAATTGCTTTGAATTTTGTAGTCGATTTTTTCCTTTAATATATATCGAAACGAGATGTTATTATATTGTTCAAAATTGTATTAGATATAAAACAGTTATATTAAATTTTTTCAATTAAACATAATAATTTTTTTTTTTTAATGAAAAAAAGAATAGTTATAATTTCACAAAACTGTTTACAAAGATATTCTCTCTTGAATTTAGAGTGCTGCAGTGGACTTCCAAGGAAATTTGACCTCTTTCCGTGAACTAACTAGCCTGCATAATATTGCTTTATATAAATAAAAAAAAAATTATAAAAAAATGGATTGAAAATAAAAGAAATTTGAAAATTGTTTTTGCATGTTTGTGAAATTATTTTTTTTCTAATTTGGTATTGTTTGTTATTTCAGAACGAAAGAGGCGAGTTTACGATAAACATGGAAAGGAAGGTCTTCAAATGCCAGGAGGCAAGAGACGTCATGAAGACGACTTTGACGATGTCTTTGCCGGCACATTTGTCTTCAGAGATCCTGAAGATGTTTTCAGAGAATTTTTCGGTGGCACACCATTTGAAGATCTATTTGGAGGTGAGGTTTATCAATTACTTTTTCACAAAACAATAAATTATTTCATTAATTTTTTTTTAATTCTAATTTTAAATAATTAATTTTTTTTCATATTTTATTCATATTCTTTCAAAATTTAAACAATTTTTTATATTACTATTTCAAATTTTTTAAATTTACAAAATTCCAAACTTTGTTTTTTAAACAATATTTCTTAATTAATTTTCCTGATTGTATTGATTAATTTTTTTTTTAAATTTTCTACAATAATAATAAAGAGATTACGTATTTTTAGTAAATATGGAAATATTTATAAATTATAGTATAATTTTTAGGAATTTATCACTTGGAGATAAATTATATATTAATTATTAATTAATTTAATTTGTTTCAGGATTTGGTGGAAATATATGGGGAGGAAGCAGGCACAGTCATTCTAGTAACAATAGCTTAAGCACATCTTTCTTTTCACCGTTTGCACCATTCAATTTTGGTAATTTGATAGGCAACGGAGGTGGAGGAGGTGGAAATTTCACAACTTTCAATTCAGTTAACACCTTTAGTGGACCTAGCAGTGGATCTTCTATGAAGCGAACCAGCACGTCCACGAGATTTATTAATGGAAAGAAAATCACCACTAAAAAGTAAGACAAATTTTTTTAATAAAGAAATTTTTAAATGTCCTATACCAAACATTGTTGAAAATATTTTTCTATTTTAAATAATTTTGTATGTATTATAAATTAAAAAAATTTCTGTTTCAGAGTAATTGAAAATGGAAAGGAGACAATAATGTCCTATGAGAATGACATATTGAAATCGAAAACAGTGAATGGAGTGCCTCAATCCATAACGTACAGCTAAATTTTTCTCTCATTCGCTCGAGCTTCAATAATCAATTAAAGAAATTCCTCTTCTCACAATTCTCACAATCTACTGCTAAAAAGAAAACGAAATTCTTTGCAAAACCGACAATGTCACTTTTATCAATGTTCAATCATGTCTGACGATTAACACGTTTCCATCATGGTTGATACGGTAATATTTAACCGTTCAGCCATTATTTGAGTAACGTTATTTAAAAAAAAAAAAAAAACTGAATAAAGAAAAAACAAAATTAAATTAAAACTTGATGAAAGCTTTGCATCGCTGGTCGACGTAATGCTCTTGACTGCACACTTTCGTCTAATCCTTCAGACTAAACTAATGACTGTGATAGGGCGAGCAGTTCGAGCGAGCGGATCCTAAATCTGAAAGTTACTAATGGAAAGTGTCTCCAATTTTTTTTTGTTATCATCAATTTTTCGACTCTTCTTTTTTTTTTTAATCAAGTTTAAAAAAATGTCGACAAATTATCAAAATTATTTTAAAAAAAAATTTGTTTTTAATTAAATTGAAATTAAAAATTTTAAATTTGCTATTATCGAATATAATAATTAGCGAATTATTTGTACTAGTGATAATAATTTAATTTAAATAATTAACTTAAGATTATTTCATTATCAGGGTATTTTGATAATAATTATCTAATTTTGCATTTTGAAAAGTAATAATTACAAATTTTCGATAATATTGATTTATTTAATTCCTTAATCCAATGATTTGTCGATATTTCATAAATTCAGAAAAAAATCAATTAGTAATTAAGCAATACAGAATTCATATCCATTTTTAAATATCACGTTCCAGTGAAAACGAATTCTCCGATTTAGAAGTAATATTTTCGAGATATCCGCATTTTTAGAAGTTTTTAATATTTATGTATGGATTTTGTTTCTTTTTTCGTTTCGTTATTCTCAATGAAATGAAAAATATTACTTCTGTCAGAGAATAAATTGTCTATAAAAATAAATGTAAGATTATTCCCGATAAACTTGAAGGTACATCTTACATTGAAAGTTTAATAAGCATCGTAAATAAGTGTAATGATTGTCAAATAATTAAATTATTCCTATATAGTAACATAAAACATTCAACAATACAAATTGAAACGACTTTGTGAATCAGAAAGCTCATTCTTAGGAGCAGTAAGTATTTTCTCAATAGGTTCCATCTTTTTAGCGTACAACTTAAGTTTATCTTATTTTACCCTTTCACTTAAGTATATATATATAATAAATAATCGCGTATGTGTATATAATGATAAAAAAAAAGCAAATGTTAAGCTTCAAAACAAATACATTATTATGATTCACTAACGTTTTTATTTTTAATCTATCCTTATTTTACTCTCATAATTTCAGATGCAGAACCAGTGTTATTTTACAATTTTCTCTCAAGTATTACTTACATTTTATAAACTTAATTTTTTAATTCATTAATTATTGATAATCTGTTTTCGTAAAAAAAAATGTTAATTTAAATTTCGCGCCACAGTGATTTTTAAACGATAGTTCCTACTTTGTCCGCAAACATTAAAACCTAACCATTTCCTTCAACTGTCAAAGAGTTGTGTGTTAATTTCATTATAATATTTATTATTATTACATATTCTTCTTATTATTAGTTTATTAAGCATTTAAGGAATGTGTTAGCATTAAAATGGTAATTAAAATACTATACTGGAAGTACAGGTAATTTTTTAACTTACCTAATATGTTTATGGAGATTTAAATGAATCTATTACTTTTTTTTTAGAATTAATAAATTTTTATTGAAATAATTGTTTAGTAATAAATGTTTTATTATTTAATGTTTTCTTTTAGTTTTGTGATTATCTTAAATATAAAATTAAACAAATTTAATTTTAAGGTTATGTTTACTTCTGTTTCATTGTTGCCAATAGTCGTGTACTTTTTCTATACCTATATGCATCAGAGAAAATTGCCAGTTGTGTTGTACAGTGCATCACTCACAGCGTTTTCAGTGAGTGGGCAGTTGTAAATTGCGTTTGCGTGATAGACACGTTACGTTTTACTATATAAATTTTACCAATGTAAACTTTGTGAATGTAAACTTAAATTTTAATTACGTATATACAAATTTTCATTCGCGTATACACGCGCTTTATAAGAATTTGTTTTTCGTGCATTACAACAATTTTATGAAACTCGTATTTTCTTGATGTACAAATATAATACACTGAAATATATACTCAATGTATAATTTTTAGTGTCAATTGATGTTAAGTGAGTGAACCGTATATAGATATATATATATATAAGTTTTGGTGCGTTGTGAACAATATTTACACGCTCTTTTCGGTGCGTGTTTCCGTTAACATTGGTTTTTTGCTTATACCAGGAAAAATATATAACCAAGGATATCATACAGTGAATAAGAGCAACAAAAAAAAAAGTAATTTCTATACAAAGAATGGCATTTACCTTTTTTTCTGTTATTATATGACAGTTCATTTTTTTTTATCAAAAAAAAACATACACTCATCTTCATGCAGTTTATTCTAAGACGTAGATGCCAATGGAAACTTTATTTTACTTTTATTTCGAAAATAAAAATTTGACTTATTGACCTGTTTCAAGCATTTATGCATTTTTTAAGAACGTCAGAATTTAAAAAATTCTTTGTACTGATAAAAAGAGATTTTTTATTATTCGAATGTTTTACAAGAAAATAGATTATTATAGATTTTATTGTATGGAAAAAAAACTTGAAAAATTTTAATTTTTTTTTTCGTTTTTAGGTATTCTTAGTAAATAAAGTTTTTATGAATAATTTTTTTCTTTTTCGAAAGAGTATTTGCATTATACAAGAGTATGTTGTTGTTTTTTTAAATATCGCGAGAACGAATTCAAACGCATGATTCATGTTTTTAAGGTTATTTTTCTTGACCTACATTTTTGTTTTGTGAATGAAATAAAAAATTTCGAATTCATTAAATGATAATTAGTTTTATGTTAGATAATTGAATTAATTTTTAATTTTAATTAATTAATTCAATGATTGCAGGTTTTAGCAGTTAATATTTTGCATCATGCAAGTATTTATATGTATGCCTTAAGTTTCACATCTGCTGCAAAATGCCAGCAAAACAAAGGAAAATAGCCATTATGGGTTATAGATCTGTAGGTATGTTGATTTTTATTCTGTATATATTTATATTATTTTTTTTTGTTTAATTGAAATAATCTTTTCAATTAGTAAAGAATATTTTGTTTAAATAAGATTTCTTATGAAAAAACTAAATGAAATGAAAATGATTTTTTCTTTTAGGAAAATCTTCACTTAGTATACAATTTGTCGAGGGACAGTTTGTGGACTCATACGATCCCACTATTGAAAACAGTAAGAAGTACTCTTTTTATCTTGCACGCAACTTCACAAATATAGTATATAATTCCACCGTTATTATTTCCTGTAGACCCTGACAGCAATCGCGTTCTGAATCCTCTATTGTTAAAACAGTTTTAGACAAAACTCTTTGTTTTTTTTTTTTTTTTTTTTTGTTGGTTACATCAGAGAAGAACGTTTTCTAAGTCCTAATGTAATCAATGAAAAAAGTTTTCCATACTTTAATGTACATAAAATCTTTCATAATTATCTGTAGATCTTCATTTAATTTTTAAAATAATATTTTTATCAAGTTATATTCTTTTTTTAAATTTTTGTTTAATTCTGTAAATCTTGTTTGAATAATTTTTAAGTGCATAAAACTATTTTTTTTTTTAAATTAAAAATTCTCAAAAATTTGTAGTACGTAAAATCCAGGAAAAAATTGATAATTAGTCCAGGATTTGTTAAGATATTTAATTGACGACAATAATGTTTTTTTTTTATTTTTAAAGCTTTTACAAAGACAACACGTGTCAATAGTCAAGATTATGAAGTTAAACTGGTCGATACAGCCGGTCAAGATGAATACAGTATATTTCCCACTCAGTACTCGATGGATATTCATGGCTACGTCCTAGTATATAGTATAACTAGTGCAAAAAGTTTTGAAGTTGTGCAAATCATTTATGATAAATTACTAGATATTACAGGCAAAGTCCAGTGAGTGTATTTTTTTTGTATTATTATCTTTAATATACATACAAGTTATTTCAATTTTTTTTTTTTTTTTGTTTGTGATTTATCATGGAAAAAGATTTAAAAAATTTATATTATTCTTACAGTGTACCTATTGTCTTGGTAGGAAACAAGACTGATCTTTATGTAGATCGAATGGTCACTACTGAACAAGGGAAACGCTTAGCCGATTCGTGGCGTGCTGTCTTTCTTGAAACTAGTGCTAAACAAAATGAGGTACGTTTATTTATCAGAGCTGGTAATTAAATTTTTATATTTATACACAGGGTGTCTACTGATTAAGAATTATAATAATATACTAATATGTAACATAACATTTCCAGTTTGAAGGGAATTTTATTTAAAATATTACTTTTTACTATAATTTCTGATTTTGAATTAATTAAATAGTTAATTTAATCCTGTTAAACATAAATATTCCAGCATTTTGTTGATAATAGGAAAAAATATTTCCCAAAAACTAATTAGGTCGAATTTTATAGGGACAAATTTTTATTAAAGCAAACTTGTATTTAACTGAATATTTTTACAACAAATTATCTAGTTTAGTTAATTTTCATTTAAGAGAATTTAAAATATTTTTATTTTCTACAATTTTTATCGAACAAAATTTTCTTAAAATCAAATTTTTATTTCACATAAATTTCCATTAAACAGAACTTTTATTTACCCGAATGTTCGATAGAGAAAATTTTTATTAGAACGAATTTTCCTTTGATTTTTTTTTAATTGAATATTTATTTATCATTTAACATCAATAATAAAAATTTTAACTTTCACGTTATTAATTCATTGTAAAAATTAATCTTTTAACAATTTATGTCAAACATTAAAATAAAAAAATTTTATTTTCAGTCTGTTGCTGATATATTTCACACTCTGTTGACAGAAATTGAAAAAGCAGATGGCAATGTCCAAGAGACAAAAAATTGCGTTATTTCATAAATTAACAAAAAAAAAAAAAAATAATAATAACAAATATTTAAAATAAAAAAAAAATGCAATTTATCTTATTTCCTGTTTACAAAAAAGTCATTTTTGAGAAGCAAGAAACTTTTTTTAAATCTTTTTTCTCAATATTTTCAAAAAGGTGCATAACAATTAAAATATGTAATATCCAAAAGTGACAGTTTGTGAATAATTTATATTTTATACATATTATTATAAATCACCTTATTTGTAAAAGAAACCGTGATTGAAATTAATTTTTAAAAAATTTGATTTTTTGATTACTTTAATATTTTATTGAGATTTTTCATTTTTTTTTTGTCTTTTTACTTTACTACAATTATTTCAATTTGAGGTTTTTTTTAATATAAAGTCCATATCAAAACGACTTACAAAAAAATTGGTAAATTTAAACAATTTTTATTTTTAAAAAATATATTATAAAATAAATAAAAAAATTTTTTTTATATATCTTTTTAAAAATATAACGTGTAACATTTTTTTTTTATTATATATTTTTAATATTATGTAAGTAATGGTATAATGCGCACTAAGGAAAAATAAAACTACATCTGTTAAACTGGTCATTTTGAAGTGGACTTATTCGTATTGTATATTTGAGTATTTTTACAGGAGACATTTAAAACGCATTGCGTAACTTTTAATGTGACGCGCATCATTTTAAATATTCTCTATCACACGGTATGCTGTATGTACACTGTATGCAATGAAAAACTGTAAATACAAAAAAGATTTTGACGTCAGATGAACGTCAGGATATATAAAAAAAAGAATCATAAAATAAAAAAAAAGATTTAAGTTGAAACTTGTCTATTTTTTCAGAAAAAAGGAAAACGGATTTAGATAATATTTCCCTCGAAAAAAAAGAATCTAACAAATTATAATAAAAATTCATAGAAGGATTTTAATAATTCAGGTAAAGGACTTTATTATGGATAAAGAAAAATTATTTTTTTTTTTATCTGAACATGAAAGATACCATTTATTTATCATCTTTTTGGGACAAACAAGTTTACAGGAAAAGGACACTTTGAATAAAACGCAACTGCCAATCATTTTTAGCAGGTTCAAAGATATACATAAAATTGGATTGTTAAAATGTAATCGTCATCACCCATGTTTTTTTTTTGTTTTTATTTTTTTTTTTTTATGTTATCTGTCGTCTAAACGACACAATTATTATTATTATTTCACAGCGGTACAAACGATCATAATTGGAAATAGAAACACTTCAAAATTTAAGAATAGTACTCACAAAAGTACATTTGCTTGGTTTTTACTTCCCCCCTCACAATGTACTAAACTTATTATTGGTTATTAACGATTATAAGCACCTCGAAGTCTGAACGAAAAGCGTTTTATTATTATATATTATAATAATAATCTTCGAAGAAATTTCAAACATAAAATTATCACTCGATTAAAATTCGACAATGATCACATGATAAACTATATATATATATATTATAGTAAAGATACAAACAGGAGATTTTACAGGCAAATATCGTTAAGCTCAAAAATGTTTACTTAACTCTACTCTTTGTCGAGCGTCTTAATTTTTAATTAAATTTTTATTTTATCTTCATTTTTTTTATATAATTATATTTATATAACGCTCGTCGAAAATTTGAATTGCTCGTTATTTCATTTATTTTTCATCTCCCATAAAATTGACATTGAACAATTGGCAAGCAACTAGGATATATTTTTTTTTTTACATAACGAAAAAGCAATGCCTAAATGTGCAAATTTATCTTATCACGCACAGAATTGAAAAAAGAATTTTTTTTTCTCTTAAAACAAAAATCACAAGAATAAGGTACATTATACAATATGAGAGTAGATCAAATTTTGTTGGGCAGGGCTAATCACAATATTTTTTAAAAAAGACTCTTTCTCTTTTTTTTTTTTTTTTTTTTTTGATTGCTTATATAATTTTCAAAACAGTTGATAATTCACAAGTTCATTCTAATTCATTATCTTTTTTTTTTTTTCTTTGAGAAGCTGAAATCTCTATCACAATAAACTTTCGTAGTTTGTATGTATATATATAATATTAAAAATTGAAAGTGATTTCTAGTTTCCAGAAAAACACTTATTAAATAGATATTTTCAAGTCTATTATGATTTCAAGCAAGTGGACTATCCTTGCAAGAATTATAATTAATTATGCGAAATAATTTATACAAAAAAAAAGTCGAACATACATTAAAAATAAAATTTAAAATAATAATTTGATCAAAATAATAATACAATTTCATATTATATATTGACGATAAGAAATTAATCACAAAAGAAGAAAAATCACTTGACAATTCTTGATTTTTTTTCTTCTTTTTTTTTTCGTTTTCAATGATCGAAGAAAGAAAATGAGACTTTCTTCGTAAATATCAGTCATATCCGAGCTCAGCAGTGATTAGCCTCGCGATTCATAATACAATAGTAGTGCACATCGTCAATAATTGATTCTACATTATAAAAAGCGAATTTTTCATATTTATTTATTTTTTTTTTTGTTTGTTTACTTATTGAGCAAGTGTCTAAACGCTTTTCCTTTTTTTTTTTTTTGTCTAACTAGCGGACTAAGAGTAAAGCTACGCAATAATATTACATTTAAAAACGCCTCTGCGTCCTGCTTCGAAAGCGCTGTCGCGTCGTTTATTACTATTATTATTATTACTTTTTAATAATTCTAAAGAGTTTTTCCACTATAAATTCGTTTATTACACATTATTACGGATAGTATAGCAGTGACACGGCATAGTTTTACAAAGATTAACGATTATTATTATTATTATTATTTCCCATCATCAGAAGAAAATCGTACAAACATCACGTGAATATTTTATTATGAAATATAATAATTGATAAAAAGGCACACTCAATAAAGAAGATTTATGAGGGGTCGTCAATTCAATATTGATATCAAAGAAAAAATTCAAATACTCCAAAAATTGATTTTTTTTCAAAGAAATTAAATTAATTAATAATAATTGAATATTAGTAATTTAATAATAGTCGAGTAATTCAATTTTGTATTCTATTCAAGTTGTTGAATTTATCAATTTAATGTAATTAATATCTCAAATGTACGAATTTTTTTCAAAATAAAAATAAAATTTTTCCAAATTTATCAATATTGAAAAGAAGAAGTGAAAATTAGAATTCTTCAAAAAATCAAGTCATTTAAAAACAATAAATGCAATAACTCGATTTTCGGTCATAAAAGAAAATTAAATAGTAAATAAAATTTATTTCGTATTTTTCCATTAATTTTTTTTTTCAAAATTTTGTTTAAATAAAAAAAAAGTGTTTTTAAATTTAATAGAAAATTTTTCGAATTTTTTCTTTGATTTTCAAAAAAGATGTTTTTTTTCTCTTATATTAAAAAGACGTTCGCTTCGAAGCAGTCACAGCAGTGTGCGACGAGAAACGACGAAATAAATAATCGTCGTGTTCGAATTTTACAGTCGGCGTTGAATTTTTACAGCCTTCAAAAAAGCTTGTACACATATATAATAGTAAAATAATATATAATCATAATATTAATTAATACAATATATCGTTATTTGGAGCCCATGGGCGCAGTAGGTACAGCGTTATTTTTTTTTTATTTGTTGACAATTATAACGGACTCTAATTAATATATAATTAATTATATTTATAATTATAAGGTACAATATGTGCACGGTGGTCGTTGTGTGACAATGTGTGTATGTGTGTGAGAGAGACGTGAGTGTCGTCGCGCTCTGAAGATATAATAAATGCGCTTCTATCGAGAATAAGTCACTTCCTTTACATATATTTTTTTTTAGAAAATCTTTTTCTTTTTTTTTTTTTTTTAAATACATAATACATGAAATTCATATGGATAGTGACTTGTTCACGACTTGATGCGCATCGAGTATATAAAGGTTTTCTACCACAGCCCATTTAATGATATATATCATTTACACATATATATATTAATATTATTATCGTTACGGTGATATATTATTCTTTTTTTTTTTAATAATTAGTAGATACGTATATATAACATAACGGAAAATATAAAAAAAAGACCTTTTACTAAACTTGTGTCATTTGTCAGCCCCGAAATATTTACTAATCTATCTTTGTCTCCTATCGAGAAGCACGTTCTTTAAACTCTCAATCTATTCAAAAAAAAAAAGAAATAATTTACAGTGTAAAAAAAGAAGCTCAAAAAGTGCCGATATGTTTTTATAATGGAAAAATAATCACATGAGAAATTGTCAAATTTTTGTTTTTTTTTTTTCGTCAAAAAATTTAACTTCCCCCCCCCCCCCCCCTTTGAGTTTAAAACGTGCTCACGAAGGAAATTGCTACTACTCGGAAAGACAAGCGGCAAAATACTGATTATATCAGAGAAGAATTCACTGTATTAGAAGCACGACGTGAAGTTTAACAAATTTCTATCTAATCTATAAATTGTCACGTCAACTAGTGGAAGTTAAATATTGCACTATCTGAAAAATAAAGAATATAAAGCTACGAGAAAAAAAAAACCCTCAAAAGGAAGACGGAGAAGAGGCGACGACACTTCTCCGAATATTTTCAATTTTTTTTCCTTCTTTTTTTTGTTTTTTTTTTTTGTTTGTTATACTTAATATATATCGATTAGGCTTCGAACAAACTTTTAATAAAATATATCAATCACAAAAATGTCTAATTATTCTTTAAATACAAATTGTGTAAAAATTCGACGGACTTTGCGCGCACCGTCCTTTTTTTGTGTGGAGAGTCACAAAAAAATTTTTTTAAGCCATTTAGACCTTATATAACTAAGAAAAAAAGTAGCATTTTCAAAAGCAAAAAAAAATAAATAAATAAGATTTATTTTGCGGTTAAAGCACGAGGAAAGCTCTCGATTGTCTTGTTTCTTTTTTTTTTTTTTTTTTTTGGCAGTCAAGTACTGATTATTATCAAATCGATCAGTTCATAATACATATATATTATATATAATTAATAATTCATCATTTAAACACTAATCTAAAAATTCGAAAAAAATCTTATTTTCCAAAATTCATTATTGGCGTTTTTTTTTCTCTTTTCTACACCAAAAAAAATTCTATAATATCTATACTAATATTTGTATTAAAAAAAAAAGATATTCGAAATATGAATAGAAATACAAATCACACAAGTGTTTGTTTTGTTGTTTTGATTTTTGTTCCACGGTTTTTTTTTTTTTTTTTTTTTTTATTTTTTTTATTTTAATCATTTTCCTTGTGCTTTTCCGATAATAATAATAATATTTGTCCTTTTAAAGAAAGAAAATGTAAATAAATAATCATGATATTAATTAATAGTTCACACTTCTCGTGCGGTCTAAGTAAAAAGCGATAAATATATAATATATAAAGAAAATGACGAGCTAAACTAGCCATCGAAACTTGATTTCATTATAACGGTAACTAAACATCCTGACTAATTTTCAACAATTATATATATATATGTATATATTTATATAATATATATTTTTTCATAGCGACGATAAACGCTGGATTAATATACGTATAGCAACGATTCCACTGGCAAAAAACAAGAAACTATCCTCTAATTATTTGACTATAGCACCCTGAAAAAAAAATCATTGCTAAATTCTACCGGAGATTGACAATAATTCACGACGACGACGGCACTCTCGACTTTTTTTTTTTAAAAAAAGTCTTTGTCACGGAGAAATTTTTTCGGAAGTCATAAAGCATTGATTCTCTCTCTCTCTCTCTCTCTCTTTTTGTGAAAAATAAGTTCACTAAAATCTACAAACTCCCACGTCCTTTTCGTAATTTCTCGTCTAATACTTTTTTTCTATTTTATTATTAGTTTTTCACTTTTAACTTTTTTTTGTGAAAAAATTTTTTTTTTTTTAATAACAAGGAACTTGATTCTCACAAAACAAGAGAAACTTCCTAATCGCATCTCTACAAATTCTAAAAAAAATTAATTTCGGACAAAATTTGATAAATTTAATAATAATAATCGAGTTTTCATTATAAAGTTGATTTGTTTGCCTTTTACAATTGATTATATATTATTATTGTTTTAGGTCCATATTCATCATTCAGAAAGATTGAAAAATTTCATCGAAAAAGAAAAAAATTATTATCTAATACTATTATATTATCTAAACGTCAAATATCTAATTTTCTATGTATTATTTTCGATTACGCGTACTATAATTTTTTTTTTTTCTTTTTTTTGGATGTATATTTCAACATCCTGTCGAAATTGCGAATTGTACTCTAAAAACTGCAATAAGCAATTATCTAAAAGAATAACTAGTTAATATATAGGCTTCGACACGATTTTAGTACGTCACAATCTACAGACTAAGGACTTATTTCTTTTTTTTTCATGTTTATCAAGAAACTTCTATATTCATATATAAGAAAGAAATCTAGCTAAGTCTTGTCAGATTAACGCCGGAGGCAAGATATATTATACATCAAATCAACAAGATTCGCCATTTATTGTTGCAATTAATTTTTACTAATTTTTTTTTCGAAATAAATTTCTACAAATTTACAAACGGTACAAAAAAAAATACTTTTACTTCTGTATTTTTATATGGAAAAATGTAATTTTACACAAAAAAAAAAGTAAGTGATAAAATTTTTTTAAATAAAATGGCAAATCTTGTTATTAATTGATGAATTTAAAATTTGCGGCACCTTGATGGTCGTCGTATCGACTCGATTCGACGAGATCTCTTTTCCCTCGCGCACTTTTTTTCTATTATCTCTTTTATTTTTTCATCCTCACGATATAAAGCATCGTTTTTTTTTTTTTTTTTTTTTTCTTTTTTACTTGGATTTCCTTAATATAAATATTATTGTAAGATAATCGTTGTACAATGTTCTAGTGGTCCACAAATCGAGCAATAATTAAAGTTTTCCTCGTTTAATACTTTCTCCATCGCTCGCTCCTTCCAACGGATATAATTATACATTATAGATATTCAACTCTAAACGAAACAAATATTGTAACAAGGTTTTTTTTTTTTCTTTCTTCTTCTTTTCCCTCTCCCCTCAAGGATATAATAAGGCTATTTCTCAACGACAAGGAGAGTAATCCCTCCTTCATGATCTTCTTTTTCTTTCTTTTTTTTTTTAAACATTTCCTGTGCGCTTCTCCCATAATACACAATTAATCACAATTCATATAATGACAAAATAAAATTTTTTTCTCAGAATAACCAAAAAAAAATTTCTCCTTTCTTGGAACAAATTTTTTGTTTTACTGCAATCCTAAAAAAAGATAATTGATTTACATTACAATTATTGTTATAATAATTATTTTCCAATTTTTTCATTGAAATTAGATGAAATAAAAGATTTTCAACTTTAAAATAGAAAAAAAACACAATAACAATAATTATTATCATTATTATAATAATCTTCATTTGAAGAGAAATCAACTGCGAATTTTTAATATCAGAAATACAAAATACAATAAAAAATATTTTAAATTAACAAAAAATGACTAAACATACAAATTTATGATAATATGAAAAAATATATTTGAAAAAAAATATTTATTCAATATTGAAATATTTAAAAAAATTTTATTTAAGTAAAGATTTTGATGAACAAAAATATTTCGCTAAGAAAAAGGGATAAATAATAAAAATTATCTAACTAGGAAAACTAAATTGATTTTTTTCGATGAAAATTGTGAATACGAATTATATTTTAGAAAAAAAATAGTTATATTTTTTTCGTTAAATTCATAAAAAAAAAAAAAAAAAAAAAGTTTTATTTTGTTTACAAAAAAGTCCAATTTCTGGTTATCCTAATCGGATATTAATTATGACATTATATGAAAAGTGTCACTGTCTTGTTTTATCCCTGAGAATGTTCACTCATACTGTTTTAAATTTTTTTTTTTTTTTTTGTTTTGTTTTGTTTTGTTTTGAAAAAGAGATCTTGACGTTTCAGAATCGAACAATTAGACACACTTGCTAGTCAAGGTCCGTCCGCGAGAAGGCCAAAAACTATCGAAACATCGAGGATCCGAGATCGTCATCGACTATCCTACGGGAACGAATGACGATCGCAAACTTATTAACTACTAATCTATATCATTATTGCGCAATATAAAAATGCGCCTAAAAATTGACGTTGACACACCAAACAGTCCACTAAAACGATTATTATAGAAACCATTTTTTCCTAAACCGAAAAACACGATATTACGAGTTTTCTTACATATATATTTTATATAAATATTTCTCTTTCACTAAAAAAAAAAAAAAAAAAGCAATATATGATTTATGTAAATCAATCTAAATATCGTTTTGTAGAGATACTCATGTCTCGCTGAGACTTTATTTCCAACGAAAATTTTTATTAATAAATAATGTCAAGTTAATTAAGAAACGAAAAAAAAAAATAAGATCACGTTCAAAACCCGTAGGTTACAGAATTTGATGATGAGAGCTTTTTTTTTAAAATCACTTGTGTGTTAACACGTTTTCAGTACATCTAATATATATATACAATAATTCCATATAAATTAAAAAAAAAATTTAATTTAAAACTCCGTTTTTTATGTGGGAAAATTTGACGACGACGAAGACGACAACGACGCGCAAGTTTACTAGAACTATAACATAACGATAATTAACTACAAACTTTTACTAATTTCCAACCCACACCCAATTATCGAAAAGCAAATTTTTTTTTTTTTTTTTTTTTTTTGTATATCATTCCGATTATTGTCAGCCTGCGCTGATTGTTATGATTAATATTGTAATAATACAAATTAATTCATTCTACAAATCATTTCGACTTGTCTCGCATTGTTCCATATTCTGTTTTTTTCTATAACCCTTTTTCTATCTATAAATAGTAACGATAAAAAGCGAAGATTAAATTGCACACAATCATGTAAGAACGCGGGTGCATTCACGTATGTATTACATTATTATTTAATTAATAAATAAATAGATAAGGTACTCTGGTCGGTTGTTCAGTGTCTCGTTTTTTGTTTTGTTTTTTTTTCTTTCTTTTTGATCTGATCGCAATATCCAATTTTATAATCCTACAATTATTATAAAATTTTGTTAAAATTTATGCATGCTCCGTCTATATTATATATAATTCACATATTTTTTTTTCACATTCACCAAAAAAGCTATAGTATTAAAAAACTTACACAGATTTTTTTTTTTTTTTTGTCAGAATCATAAAGCAACTTACGCGCTATTGTATCGATGATTAGTGATAATTATCATAATAATATATTGTAAAAATCCTGTATTCATTATATAGTATATGGCAGCAATTAGGAACGCAAAATTTGATATAAGGCGTGATACTAACAGAATTTGTTAGTTTTTTTTTTTTTTTTTTTTTTATTTATTTTTTGGAATTAAATGTACGGAATTTCTGGTCCTCAATTCACATTAACTTTATATGAGATTTATAGACTAATTTCATATATATATATCAATTACATTCTATCAATTCAAATATACAATTATCTCCTTTTTTTTATTTTGAAATGAAATTATTATTTTTTAAATGACTCGATTTTTAACAAAATATTTGAATTTTTCTTAAATGAATAAAGGTATTTTCTAATGGAAAAAAAAGTAAATTTAAGAATCAAAACTTATTTTTTAATTATTATTTGACTCTGTAATTATTTAATTAGCAATATTTATCAGGATTGGATCAACGATCAATCATTAATATTCAAATGGTGAGAATAATCGAGACACTGACATCCAACTGCGTGTGATATGCAAGCGTAAAAATTCATTCTTTCTCTCTCTCACTCTATCTCTCTTTCTCTTTCGTAATTGCATTTTTTTTTT